CGGCCTGGGCCGGCGCCCGCCGCCGTGGGACCACCCTCTGCCGTGTCCCCCTTCGCGCTAACAAATGTTTTTCGGGTGCGGGTTGTTATTGCTAACGTTGGGGGTTTTTGGTGTTTTAGCAAAAGGACAGAAAATCTAAAAAGTCAACTTGGAAGTTTTGCCTTGATTTGACCCATCCTGTGGAAGATGGAATTTTTGATTCCGGGAATTTTGTAAGTCGTGGTTTTGCTCATACTTCTCGTGCATAGTATAATAACAGCCTTCGTACAGTACGACACCTGAATTACAACTGAAGTTACATTTTAAACTAGTAAAATCGACTGTTCTTTAAATTATCAGCACTTTTTGAAAGTTTCTTGGGTTTAGATGTCTTTTATAGACAAGATGGTTCATGCCTGTCCGTGAATAGAACTACTTTAAATTGAAGCACGGGGGTGATTTTTTTAATTACACACTGTAAAATCTTACTGCGTTGTAAATGCTTGCTATCAGGACATAAGTAAACAGTGATTTTTAATATCGCTATACGGCTAGGGTCCCTTCCCTAGTTCATACCTAGGGTGCCATTCCCTAGTGTTCTATTTCTTTAATGTTGAAACAGGAACAGTTCCTAAAGGAGAAGGTTAAGGTCAATGGAAAAACTGGAAACTTGGGCAACACCGTTCACATTGAACGTCTGAAGAACAAGATCACAGTGACATCCGAGAAACAGTTTTCTAAAAGGTTGGCATAGGTTTCCTTTTGTTGTACTTGCGGTAGTGGATTTTGAACAGTCGTATGTTGAACATGACACACTTCTGATATGTTGGCATAGGTTTCCTTTTGTTGTACTTGTGGTAGTGGATTTTGAACAGTTGTATGTTGAACATGACACATTTCTGATACGTACAGAGAAGGTGTTAGCGCTAACCTTCATAGCACTTTCAAATATTAGTGAAAGATGTAATTCAAACAAATTTACAATATTAGGTATTTAAAAACGTGCTTTGTAAAACACAGGACTTGATTGCAAATTAATGCTTCCTTGAGTATAAACACAGTAATACAGAGATATATAGGTTGTTAGAAGTATATCAAGGAAAGAGATGCTTTTAAAAGTCATACTGAGTTCACGTCACAGGTGGCTGTTTTATTATTTAATTGGTTGTATTAAAATGTATGTGTACACAGTACGTGTTGTTGGAAAAGAACCCCTTAAGTCAAGTGAAGCCTTAAACTGCTTCATGCGTTAGGGCATGCGATAGATGAGTGCACTGGTTAGAGGTGCAGTTCCTTCCCTGCATCCCCCCTCCATTTTCCTGATACAGATGCACCAATATCTGTTGTGTTTGACCAAGGTTTAGAACTTCTCAATGCTTTTGAGTTACTGGCATTGTGCTCTGTGGTCAGAAAGCATCAAATAATAAATTCTTACGTATCTGGAACGAAAATACACTTTTATTATCTGTTATATATGATTTTTTTTTTTTTTTTAATATAATTAGCATGTTGCTGCCCTGCTAGGGCCATGTCTTGGGTGGAGTGCAGACAGCAGTATGAGTTGTTAAATGAGAATGTTCTAATGTATAATTACTGCTTTTAAGGTACCTAAAATACCTCACAAAGAAGTACCTCAAGAAGAACAATCTGCGTGACTGGCTTCGTGTCGTTGCTTCTGACAAGGAGACGTACGAACTACGCTACTTCCAAATCAGTCAAGATGAAGAAGGATCAGAGTCTGAGGAATAATTGAAACTTAGCTTTATACTCAATACAGTGTGCAAAAGACGAGAACGTCTATTTATAAGAACACTTAACTTATTGGTGAATAAAGATTTTGTACCCTGTTTGACAGAGCGTGGTTAGTTTTCTAGCCTTTTTCTTAAATTTTAATTAAAAACCATCATGGGGAGTCATTTGATTTGCAGTTTTCCTTCCATTGGTAGAAATCAGAGCTGTTCAACATGGCATCAGTGAAAGTCCAAGTAGAAAAGAACACAGCCCTTAGCCCAGTACGTATGTAGGACAGTTACATCAGCGTTTAATTATATTTTTACAAATAACGCTAGATCTTTTTGTGACTAAAAGTACCAGCTCCTTCTGCTAATTTATGTGGCGCTAATGATACAATACTTAATAAAAGTTTACATTTAATTATTTTAGTTAAAAAAACTGCTCACATATTTTAAAAGAGAAAGATTTTATTTCTGTGTGATTTACCTAAATCATTAATTGGTTGTAGTATTCCTGTGTATAACCACAAGTCAAACTGGAGTATAACAAATAAAGATTTGTTAGCCAGGTTTACATTAGATTGACAAGTGAGTAGGTAGAGACGAATCTCATTTCCAGTATGTAGCTAAAACAACTTAAAGGAAGCAGTGAGATGTGCTTTAATGTTGACAGTGACTGAATCCCATTAAATCCATACGGATGTTATTTCTTTAACACCAGTATTTCTTTAGTAGAGGTGGCGGGTTCTTCATTGAAACACAAATCACTCCAGATCCTATAAACTAGTTCTTTTGTTCATGTAGTATCAAGAGAAATTTGATCAGTTTTCACTAAGAACAAGTGGTATTTGTGAGTCTGCAGTTGCATATGCGTTTCAGTAGCGTGTTCTGTCAAGCTGGTGGTATACTCTGCATGTGATCGATTAGAATATTTACTCTCGGGTTCCAGCGTGATGGTGAACTCCGGAATTAGTAATGCCAAATTTGTTTAATATCATACGACAGGGATGCATGTAGGCTCTGATACTGAACTTCTTGTGCTTGAACAAATCTGCTAGTTTAGATTGAAGAGAGCCCACTTGTTTAATTTCCTGATGATTTTTTTTGTTATTATTTCAGCATTGTTTTTGCTGGCAAACCTCTGAGACAGACTATTAAGAGAGTTGCCAAACACAAAGCGGTGCATTAACAGTTGCGTGACACCCACTAGTGCCACCTAAATCTAAATGAGAAGTACAGAAGGGGAGAGGAATGTTGTCAGCGTTCATTTGTCATTTTTCAGTTTGCTCGAGCAGCTGTTCCTGAAGTGTGGCCCAGGGAGATGAGAGGAAGCAGCAATGGAACCACAGCTGCTTCTGTAACCTCTGCCTTGTTGATTTGTTTCGTTGTGCTGTTTCAGAACTAGCAAAGGGAAGGGAACAGCGTGCGTAACTGGCTGCAAGGCCGAGGATTCTTTCCTAGCTCGTATATGTTAAACTTGACATGCTTCTGTGGAAATAAAACACCTCAAGTCCTGCCCCCTGACCTAGGGCTCTGGATAATGCCGAAATGCTGTCTTGGAATTAACTATTTGAGAAAAATCAGGCAGTTTTGAAGCAACAATTAAAGGTGGCTGAGTTCTTCCTTTTCTGGAAATCCAAAAGGTTGCTAATGCTTTCTTAAAGTAGTTACAGTATCGGTAGTTAATACTGTGTTGAACAGGCAACATTGGTTTTCACCCTAAAGCTGCAAATATTTGAAAACCTCTGGTGTGTTTGCTTTGCTGCACCAAGTTAAGCAAAGGGCGTGACTAACAGCTGTATTTCAAAATACATCCCCACCTGTTTTTTCAGAGTTGCACTTTTATGTGACAATACGTCCTTTACGCCAGACTGAGACAACAAAACTGTTCTGATTAAGTGGAACAAGCACAAGCGCAGTCAGAGCTAATAGGGTTATGCTGCCTTGTTACCGTTCCTCTTAAAGCAGGCTGGCAGCTACACTGGCAGCTGTATGGCCTAGCAGTTACAGCTTGTCATTAGTCAAAAGATAGGAAAACAAGGCCTGGGATTTCAAGCGAAGCAACTTATTTCGTAGCTGGGTTTGGAGGAAAACTGCCGAAGTGCTCGTGTGAGTCGTATTACTCGCTGAGCTTCACTGCAGTGAGGATGGAGTCTAGGAATTCCTTTCCCCAATGCTTGAAAACATTTTAAACTTTGAAAAACACAAAATTCCAAATTTCTGATAAGTGTGGCTCTAGAGTCCTTAATGTATTTAGGAAAAATTTCCTTCCTTTAGATACCAGCCAGAAATTTTTGTTTTATGCCTGCGCTGCTGCCCAAGCTCTGCTGCCGTACCCAGAGCCTCCCGGCCAGCTCCGCTCTGTGGAGCGTGCGGCTGTTGCAGATTTCTCGTGCAGTTACAGGCTTTATCGGGTCAGCGGGATCAGTCAAAGTGCATATATGTGTGTTACACATCATAGAAACTACAAAGAGGGGAGTTTAAATTTGAATGGAGTGTTTACAATTAAAGTTTCGTGGAGAAAAATAGCTGGAGTACGCAGACAAGAAGCTGACCTCAGACAAAGCTTCAGAAAAAGGGTGATTCATAATTTCACGTATTTCACAGCTGAAGAGGCCAGGTGTAATGCAGGTGACAGGCAGGAAACAGCCTGTTACTGTTCACGTAAGGTAATTAATACAAATTGTCCAGATTACAATCAAAGCAAGCTTTTTTAAAAGCCACAGGTCAGCGTTTCCCTGATCTTTGGTGGGGTCTAACTCATTGTGATGGCAGCTGGGCTGTGCCAGGAGCTACCAGGTACCTTCACTGGGACAATTGGGTTTTTTTTCCAACTAGAATCTGCTGTAAAATAATCAGTTTCGTTCATCTTTGTTTTGAAAGTTAAAAGATCCCAAACAGCTTGAAAATGGACAGGATTGACTGTCGGAATTTTCCATATTTAGTGCTGGACAAGAGCCCAGAAAAGCCCTGCTCGAGGGAGGGACGGGCTCTCCTCGGAGCTGCAGAGACGCGCGCTCCTGCGTCAGCCAGGCGATGAAGCTGCTGGGAAAAATAATGCACCCACAGCATGAAGATTTTGCAGGTGACCAGGGCTGCTGCCAAGTTTGGTCCCCGTGGCTCCACAGTAACTTGCTCAGGGTGCTTTAGGATTTCCCAAAACACAAAATCCACAAGGAGCGAGTGCTTCGGAAGCGCTGCTTTGCCTCCACCCAGCTGAGAGCCCCGGTTCATCAAGCCAGAAGTTTAATTTGGAAAGAGGGATAATCTCTGCAAAGCACCAAGTGCACTGGGAGTGCAGCAGATGGGCCAGGGCCAGCGCCTGTGACCGCAGGGCTAAGCAGGGCAATGGCACCATGGCTCTTAC